AGTGCATTGGCAAAATTAATGTTACCTGACACTAATGTAGACGTGAATATTCATTATCATTTCCATTATGCTTACAGTTAAACAATAATATACCTACTCTTATAGACCCGAAGAAATTGAAGTTCAGTGCTATTTGGGATGACGTGTTTTGACCTGTTGAAAGGATATACAGTGAGGGAAAAAAGTATTTGATCCCCTGCTGATTTTGTACGTTTGTCCACTGACAAAGAAATGATCGGTCTATAATTTTAATGGTAGGTTTATTTGAACAGTGAGAGACAGAATAACAACAACAAAAATCCAGAAAAACGCATGTCAAAATTTATAAATTGATTTGCATTTTAATGAGGGAAATAAGTATTTGACCCCTCTGCAAAACATGACTTAGTACTTGGGGGCAAAACCCTTGTTGGCAATCACAGAGGTCAGACGTTTCTTGTAGTTGGCCACCAGGTTTGCACACATGAGGGATTTTGTCCCACTCCTCTTTGCAGATTTTCTCCAAGTCATTAAGGTTTCGAGGCTGACGTTTGGCAACTCGAACCTTCAGCTCCCTCCACAGATTTTCTATGGGATTAAGGTCTGGAGACTGGCTAGGTCACTCTAGGACCTTAATGTGCTTCTTCTTGAGCCACTCCTTTGTTGCCTTGGCCATGTGTTTTGGGTCATTGTCATGCTGGAATACCCATCCACGACCCATTTGCAATGCCCTGGCTGAGGGAAGGAGATTCTCACCCAAGATTTGACGGTACATGGCCCCGTCCATCGTCCCTTTGATGCGGTGAAGTTGTCTGTCCCCTTAGCAGAAAAAACACCCCCAAAGCATAATGTTTCCACCTCCATGTTTGACGGTGGGGATGGTGTTCTTGGGGTCATAGGCAGCATTCCTCCTCCTCCAAACACGGCGAGTTGAGTTGATGCCAAAGAGGTCCATTTTGGTCTCACCTGATCACAACACTTTCACCCAGTTGTCCTCTGAATCATTCAGATGTTGATTGGCAAACTTCAGACGGGCATGTATATGTGCTTTCTTAAGCAGGGGGACCTTGCGGGCGCTGCAGGATTTCAGTCCTTCACGGCGTAGTGTGTTACCAATTGTTTTTTTGGTGACTATGGTCCCAACTGCCTTGAGATCATTGACAAGATCCTCCCGTCTAGTTCTGGACTGATTCCTCACCGTTCTCATGATCATTGCAACTCCACGAGGTGAGATCTTGAATGGAGCCACAGGTCGAGGGAGGTTGATAGTTCTTTTGTGTTTCTTCCATTTGCGAATAATCGCATCAACTGTTGTCACCTCACCAAGCTGCTTGGCAATGGTCTTGTAGCCCATTCCAGCCTTGTGTAGGTCTACAATCTTGTCCCTGACATCCTGGGAGAGCTCTTTGGTCTTGGCCATGGTGGAGAGTTTGGAATATGATTGAGTGATTGCTTCTGTGGACAGATGTCTTTTATACAGGTGACAAGCTGAGATTAGGAGCACTCCCTTTAAGAGTGTGCTTCTAATCTCAGCTCGTTACCTGTATAAAAGACACCTGGGAGCCAGATATCTTTCTGATTGAGAGGGGGTCAAATACTTATTTCCCTCATTAAAATGCAAATTAATTTATGCAAATTTTGACATGCGTTTTTCTGGATTTTGTTGTTATTCTCTCTCACTGTTCAAATAAACCTACCATTAAAATTATAGACTGATCATTTCTTTGTCAGTGGGACGTACAAAATCAGCAGGGGATCAAATACTTTTTTCCCTCACTGTATGAGAAGCTAGTAAAGTGACGGTACATGATTGGTTTCAAATTTTTACAAAATCTATTTTTAAATTATTTTATTTTATCAATTTGTTATTTTATTCTCATTCTATGTGACTTTACCGAAAGAACCAAAGAAGATCTATTTTTAAGTTCCAAAAATGTACATGGATTTTTAAAATAAATTTTCCTGCTTAAGGGTCCCACGAACTAATCATTATCTACAGGTCTCTAGAATATTCTATCTCGAACATACATTTGGCATAATTCTCTACTTTTGTAAGTTTTTAGAAACCACAATTTGCACTCCCATGTGGTGACGTGCTTGCACATCAGCTGTGCAACATAGCGACACTTAGCGATGCACTTCTCTCACTCAACGTCTTTCTGGCTGTGTCTCTTGCTTCTCTCACTTTCGTTATCTCCATGTTGTGTTCCCTGCTGCTCTCACTGCACACATCAGAATCAGAACATTTATTTAGACTGGAGGATTCTGATGAGCTATAAAGCCCTTTTTCACAGATGTCTAGTAGGGGCAGGTCAGAACGTTACAACAACAAACAGTACAAAAACAGGATAGGAGTGCAAAGTATTGGAAAGGTAAACAAATCACTTAAAAATAGACAAATAAAACGTGACTTTTTATGTTACCAGGTAAAACTTATTTTTCAGAAGCGAACTGGCCGCAAATGATAGCTCAACAAAGTGGCTTATCACGTGGACATTTATAGCAGCAAACTAATTTATGCCTCTGTGTCGCTCCACACACCCACTCAATGCATCTGTCTCTACTTCTCTCTCTATCTGGCCCAGTGCTCAATAGTAACGTGACCATGATGATAAATTATTAGTTGGCATTGGGCCACGTGCAGTGTGGAGTGAGAGAAGCAGAGAGAGACATAGCACGGATATGTACTCTATTGAGACAGAAGTAGCCACACCACGGGAGAGGTACAGAGTGTGAGAGTATCTCTGGAAAGAGAGGTATACAGCATCAGAGGGGAATAAAATAGTGTCCCTGCTGCATTCACAATGCAAGATTTCACTGGGGCCAATGGTATTTAAAAAGTAACTTACCTCTGTTAAATATTGATGTAAGAGGTTGTGTGGAATTAAGATGTGTTGAGACATTCTATTTGGGTACAAAAGGGACAGAAAATGTGGGTTAGAGTGTTCTTTCTCTGTCAATGTATTTCTTAAACACAGAATAATCTTAAGGACAATGTATATTCATCTATGTATTAGCACGTCATCTTGATACTGTTAAACTAAATGGCAATTGAGTCTATATCGAAAAGGGCTCATCTAGGAGATGTATGGTTAGCATGTTGAACCAGAGAGAGTTTGCTTAGGAACAATATTTGATTCCCTCATTTGCACTTCAATGTTGCAAAACACTGCAAAATATCTGCTGTTGTGTGGACAAAGATCTTAAGACGTTAAGACATTTGATGCCTTCATAGATCAGTACTGCAAATTGCAAACTGTTTTGTTCAAGTCTCAAATTCTTTAACATAAATATTCACATGCTAATTTAAATTCAGCAAACAGAAAGTTGAAGCGTTCACATGCTCAAATATAGCTTCGTGCGGTGCTCATTTGCGTTCATGGTCTTGAGCCATTGATTTTCATTCCACGTTCCTATGGCGGGAACCAATCACTTTTAACTTTCTACAGAGCCGCACAGCCTTGCCTAGTGGTGTTTGTTTTCTGATCCCAGAAGGATAATGATGGGATTGCCTCAAACCTGCCAAAAAATTTAAATCTCAACTCTGTCATTGGGAGCCCTGCATTGATTAATGAAAATGCATACATATATATGCAACTTTTCTAGACACGAGAGTAATTCAACGAGAGCCTGAGCTGTCAACTAAAAAGGTCCTATTTTGCATGATTGCCTCCGTGTGGTCTACCTCGTGTCGAGACCAGTGTGGAGCTGATTAAAAATTACTCATTGAGAAGTACATGCATTTTTATGGCAGAGTAGATCCCGTTCCACTCTGATTCGTGAAACGAGTCGGCCTGCTTTTGTGTCTCGAGTTCTACATTCAGTGTGTGGCTGCTATATATTTAATTTAATGCATGTTATTAGGCCACATTTCATGTGGGAACACGAAGAAACACAGGCTGTGCATAATTTACAGATTAAAATGGAATTTAATTAACATCCTGTGGTGTTGGCGAATGCTCAATGGCAATTACAAATGGCCTTGCTGCAAAGTAAGCCTGTGTTCATGATCGTGCACTTGAAGCATGCTAAACGGTCCACGTCGAGCATCATCCAGAGTTTAGCCCCCATTAATCCGAAGCAAATAAAGATGTTGGGTATGGGGCTAACGGCTCGTAATTACATGAAGTCGCAGTTCCCAACCTGCGGTAAGCATACCCCTGGAGTTACATGCGACATCTCTCCGGGGTAAGTGAGACAAATTATCTGATTGGCAGTGGTCACACAGGGTATTGTCTTGCAGGGTTGGTCTACGTATGTGCGCTTGCAATTTTAAAGCTGTGTGCTCATATGCTAAATGGAATTTGGTGAACGTGTACACATGTGCTCTGCTTGTACTCTTTCGTTTTCCCATGTATTCTGCATTCATTTACAGATGAACTGAATACATTATTCTATATCTCGTTAGCATTTCACAGCGAGCGAATATCAGCCTTCTCTCGTAGTGTCATTGTAGTGTAATCATAATGATGACTTCTGATTAGCACAGTTGTCTACGTACGGTGTGAAAGGAGTTCACCGTACACATATGCATTGCTTAAACGTTAGAATACATGTGATTTTTATTGTTTTTGAAATATAAACATTCATTTTGAAATATGTAGTTCATTGTACATTGATTTAGTGTTTCGTTAATGCCTTACGTTTTAATTGCAGGTAAATGTAATTTTTCTCTTTTGTAATGAAAAATAAAAGCTGTATGTTGGCACGCACAGACAATTGACAGGTCTGGCAGTGGGGGTACACGACTATAAAAAAGAGAATCTAGCCCTTTGTCCTTGGTAGTAATAATAATTGAAGGAACCGGAAAGAGATGAAGACCTAACAGAATGGCTTGCCGACGACATAAGAGATTGGTGCCGGAAAGACGTGGCACTACTTGAGCGCACCGGCACAGGACCGAGGTTAAGTGGCAACAAACGAGGACACGTGCAGTGGTCACGTACGGGCTATCTTGCCCCATTGATGGCGATGACGACTGATGACAACAATAACTGTTGACGTGCATGCACACTCCCCAGGTGCTGAGTGTGGTGCGCTCCAACTACGACACGCTCACGCTGAAGCTGCAGGACAACCTGGACCACTACGAGCGCTACTCAGAGCAGCCCAAGGAGGCAGCCTTCTTCACGCAGCTGGTGAGCCAACGTGGCGCCGGTTTTTCCACACTCGCGCCGGCGGGGGGGGGGGGGGGGGGGGCGGCAGTGCAATCTTCTAACAGCAACAAAATCAGCTTGAATGTCAAAACTCCCAAAAGATAGTCAAATGTGATTTCAGGACAAAACGAGTATTGAGGCAATGCTCCTGTCCCGTTGGTAGGAATTCCACATTGCTACGGTACAGGTGAGTATATCCACAGGACAACTACTGTAGGCTTCCCCACAAAGTGGTACTTATTTTATCGATCCCAGAGGCATGATGGGCTGAGTCAACCCACAACCAGGACTTCAACTTGGAATAGTTTGGTTGTGTGCCACTCGCTCTACTTCTCAGCCACCTGGCCGGATGGCTCGGCCAACACCAGGCATGTTAAGATGCATCAGTTAATTGATTACATGTAAATATTATAATTACAATGCCTGCATAGAATCGTGTGAGAATCGGTTCTGTAAAATATACACAAATTTCTTGTATGTTACATTTAGGCTAACTTGAGACGGAAAGGAAATTGTCTATAACCTAAATAATTTCGTAAAAAGGAGACACACATGATCAATTCTTCACTGGAATTGTGACAATTCATACAATTGCTTGAGGCTGAATAATTACATGCCTCGTCAGAACAGTGTCATATCAAACACATTGTCAACACAGAGCCACCTTTCAGCAAAGTGCCAGCAATACTACACGGTACCGTATGCCAACACAAATACACTGTCAACAATTGTGTAATCTACGAATGCAGTTCCACTTCTGACTGCACCAACAGAATTCTGTTTTAAAAAAAAAAACTTCGTGCAGTGATACCTACCATCTCCAGCACCGTACCATTGTATTCTTCATAAACTGTGAATACAGCACTATCTTTTAACACATTGCTAAAAGTAACAAGTCCCTAAACAATTCAATTGCATCAGTTATTCACTGGAATGTAATTCTTTGTCATAAAATATTTTGCTCGTGCTGTGCGATTAAATCAACAAGACCTATGATGCATGCGGCAGAAAAATGTTGTGCCAATGAAGGGGATTAAAAATAATTGTGAGGTCGATGTGTCCATGTCACATGGGGGATGGGCTCAGGTTTGCGGGTGGGCCCGATGCTGGTGTCATTGGTTACGGCCTCAGGCAGGGTTGAATAATTGTGTGATTCTGCAGTATAGCGCAGAAAAATAAATGCCACCAAGCTCCTATTGATTCTTTTTGACAAATCACAATACATATTTAGATTATCTTCTTTGGTTCTTTTGGTAAAGTCACGTAGAATGAGAATAAAATAATAAATTAATAACATAAAATTACAATAAAATAACACAATAAATAACACAATAAAATTGTGTTATTTTATCTTATTAATTTATTATTTTATTCTCATTCTACGTGACTTTACCGAAAGAACCAAAGAAGATGAATGCTTGCAGTCACGAAAGCTTTCAATAGAAAAATATTTAGATTACTTAAGAAATGCGACTTTAAGTAAAAACATTATCACATCCCGATATTTATTTGTCTGCTGTGGCTTTGTACGATGTTTTCCATGAAGTACTCGTGAAGGAACATCTGCTGTGTGTGCCCGAATCCCGTAAAGCGTGCAGTTGCGTTGTGTGCACGTCCTTCAAATTGCTGTTAATGTAGAGGATTTCTGTGCAAGCCTTTGTCGCCTAATTCAATGTTAAACAGAATGGGAATTAAATATTTAGTCCGTGTTTGCAATGAGTCCAACACTAAAGCACATTAACAATTAGGGTGAAAGGTATGAATGCTTTACAGCCAAAGATACTGGATTTCCAAAAGGACATGGAACAAGTCCGCTTAAAAACATGGTAAATGTTTTAATTTCACCAAGTTAATGTCGTGGTATGCTTTCCATTTATTTTTAAATGTATAAAACTGTCTTTAAAAAAATACTACATCCAGACTGACTACATGGCTTCAGCATGTTTTCTACTAAAAGAATAAATAATGTCTGCCAATACATTTGAAAATTACCAATTTGGATCGTATTAAAGCTAAACTGTAGCTCTTAAAATATTTTAACCTGAATTATTTAAGTACAGGAAAACCTTTCAGAGCGGAGGGGTTATATTAATGGAAACCCCCGTGTTGGGCGAAACTGCGTTCGACTAGTGATGAACCTTTATGGGAAAAATAGAGTTGCATTCCTGGGTTTGAAATTATCGCCCTCTCTCTCTTTCTTTAACTAATTCTACGAGATTTCCCCCCTTTGTTATTGTACTTAGGGATGCTGAGTCACTCTCCAAGTCTTGTGTGTGTGTACTATTCTTTGGTTCTTTTGGTAAAGTCATGTAGATATGAAAATAAATTGAATAAACATTATACAAATAAAATGAAAATGATACAAAACTAAAAACATTAATGTAGACTGTAGTCTGGTTCTTAATCGGAGTGAGTGTACTGGCAGTCTATAATGTAGATTGTTGTAATGGTTATTCTTAGCTCTTTCGGTAAAGTCACGTTGAAGGGAAACAATAAAATAATAAAATATATATAAAACAATAAAAATTCTCACGACGTTTCGACCATAACACAAACGGTCATCATCAGGTGTGTCGGTTTGCATTAATTAATTTATTTTTAAACGGTGTATTTATTAATTAAAAAACGTCAGCGCCACGCGCGGCGATTTGGCAGTTTATTTAGAAGGACTAGTCCATCTATGTTCTGAAAAGAGGAGGGGGGAGACGAAAAATTAATGTATGCTGTCTGAAAGCCACCGTAAGCGTGAACAATCAATTAAGACCTGAAATGGTTTATCAAATCTTTCTAATGATTGCTAGGCCAGAATCCATCTTCTCGGTTGAAATTGTCTCTGTGCTTGTATATGTGGATAGCCTCATGAACGAATCTCTCATGGTAGACAGATGGCTTACAAAGAACCTCTGTCTTGGAAAAGTCAATGTCATGTGAGCCTACTGAATTATAACAATGATCTGCCACGGCCGAGGTGTTGGTCCTACCGTGTTTAAGGTCTGCTTTGTGTTCACGAATGCGGTCCGAGACATGGCGTTTGGTTTCTCCAATGTAACTACTACCACAGAGGCAACTTAGTTTGTAGACACCAGGGTACTGTATGTCCGGAATCAAATCTTCTACAGACGGAACCAGATGACGGATTTTATGTAATGTTTTGAATCGGACCTGGATCTTGTGTTCATTCAAGATTTTGCAGATCTTTTTTGTGATCCCCGCAATGTAGGGTAAAGTAATGGTTTTGAAAGGCTCCTCAAGAGGGTCCTTCTTCATGGTTGGAGTGATAGCTTTGCGGATTGCGTAGTCGGAGTAACCATTAGCCTTAAGAGCTTGGTGTCCGTGCTTGAGTTCACTGCCTGTGTTCCTGGTCGGATATGCATTGGGCTCTATGGTGCAGAGTCTTGATGAGGGAATTCTTCTGGGATGGATGGTGGTGGGAATCCGGTTTCAGGTAAGCATCCATATGGGTAGCTTTCCTGTAGACAGAGTGGCTCATTGAACCATCTCTTTTTATTAGGACATCCAAAAAAGGTAGCTTGCCATCTTTTTCGACTTCCACTATATCAACCAAATGTAAGGACAACCTGATTTCCAAATTTAACCTCCTCTCCAACAAAAGACCGGATCCACACACCAAAAAACTAGACGTTAACAAAGTCATAATCGCAGTAACAGTTCTATTTCCGATGGTCTGAAATCGTTAAACCTGCCACCACCTGACACAGCCAATTACTCTTTGTTTTTTTCGGTAAAGTCACGTAGAAAATAGAATCAAATAATAGAATATGACGTTTCGGTTGCAACACAAGCAACCATCATCAGGTAAGAATGAATGATAAAACACAGACACGGGAACAGCATAGGCAGACACACATGCAGAGAGAGACACAAAGACACACCAAGCCAGCCAATTACTTAGGTTTGTAAATGTTGTGGATTTGCTCCCCAACACACCAGTGTGCTGTACTCGTAACTAATTGCATGTTCTGTGTACGTGACAGACCTTACTAAGTGGCTGTCGGGTGGTGGCGGGTTTAACGACACATTTACGCGATCTAACCCAAAGAAACCTGTAATGGATGGGTATAGCTGAAACACGCACTCAATAAAACCGAATTTGGTGAGGTTTTCCTGCATTTAGTTACTGAATTTGCACAGAGGGGAGTAAACTTATTCATAACATTTGTAACACTTAGCGAAAATAATTAAACGAAAGGTCTTCATTTGAAATAAAATGTCAACTCGTGTAGCTTGCGTGTTCTGTGGCTGCAAATTGTAATATGCTTGTTCAGTCCTGTGGAATAAATTGGGTCAGGTTCTAATGGGCAAGCTTTGGGTAATATGATTATGAAAAAAGAGTCATATTGATGCAAGGCTGGATAAGTGCTTGCGTTTTCCCCTTTTTACACGATATTTTACCACCACAATTTTTCATAACGTTTAATAATTTATTTCTGTAACGTTCATTTAACACTTGAGATTTATTAATTAAACCTTGGAATTAGGAGTGGTGGACTTTGAAAGAATGTGCTGTCACATGGAGTGATTCTGGATCTTTACACCTCCCTTAACAATACAGCAGCAAGGTGAGCCATCAGGCAGCCTGATATGTGTATGAGCAAAACTGCTCCACAAGTATTCATGACACTCCCAAAGTATTGCTCCCGACAAAAAAAAATGTGATGACATGTATTCTTATATTAATTTACAAAATAAATTTGTTGTCAAGGGGGGTGATGTTGCTGTGTGCTTCCTATAATTAAGTATTTTATTAGTACTTTACCATACTTGGCAAATTTTAACCATGTCACCTACCCACATGGCCTACTTTATTTGAATGTTACAGGATCTTCTTTGGTTCTTTCGGTAAAGTCACGTAGAATGAGAATAAAATAATAAATTGATAAAATAAAATAACACAATAATATTCTCACGACGTTTCGGCCACAACACAAGCGGCCTTCATCAGGTGAAGGGGCGAGACTGTCTGGTAGGACAGCGCTGACAGCGCTGACTTTACCGAAAGAACCAAAGAAGATGAATCATTGCAGTCACGAAAGCTTTAAATCGAAATGTTACAGGATCTTTAACTTCTGCTGTGAAGGAGAAGGCGTAAATGTGTGGTTTAATCCGTCTGCAGCATTAACCGGTTGCGACCGCTCGGGCTGAAACCTGCGAACATCTGCAAAACAAGTGGCAAACGCGTTACCGTACAGACGACTTAGCCCATCATCTCTCACCGGGACAAATAAAATGAGAAATGCTTTGTGGGTTGTCCTTTGAAAGGGCTGGTCCCCACTGTGGGACTGTAGATTATTTTACCACCTCTGTAGATTATTTTACCACCTCTGTAGATTATTTTACCACCTCTGTAGATTATTTTACCACCTCTGCTCCGGAAATGGATGCGAACACCTGCTCCGTTGTTCGTTTGAGCATGGAGACAATTTGACTAGAATTGAGCTAAATAACATCAATATTTTAGTGTGTGTGTATATGTGTGCGTTTTGTCATTCATGTTATATGGTCATACGTCTATTGTGGTTGGAACTAAAATGAAAGATGTGGCATCTCTCCAAATCACACTGCTACCCATTAGAGCATTAACTGTCTGGCATCTATTGTAAAATGGACGTGCAAAATCTTGCAAAATCAATTGCAAAAGTAGACTCATTGTGTATGTGATTGTTATGCCAACAAATAAAAAAAAAACCCCACAATTAGATTTTTTTTACTTAATAGTTACAATCTTTGCATGTGCACTGTAATTTAGGTTAATTCATTCATAATAACGTTTTAAAAACAATTGCCAAGCTTATGAGGAAGGAGTCGGGTGTGTTTAAATAAATAATAATTCCAAGCTGACTTATTAAAGTATGACCAAGCTCAGCGCTTGGTCGAAATCCAACAGCGGTGCTGTCACGCCGGTGCTCTGCCAGCGCTGTGCCATCGCTCAGAATCCTCGCCGGTGTGATTCACTGGCCTGTAAGAGCCCGAGGCCCGAACTCGCAGCACTGAGAGCTGCGTGTGGGCGATGGGACATCCAACCAGACAGACCCTTGTGACATCATCCATCACATACACACCTACAGTGAGGGAAAAAAGTATTTTATCAGTCGATAATTTTAATGGTAGGTTTATTTGAACATTGAGAGACAGAATAACAACAAAAAAATCCAGAAAAACGCATGTCAAAAATGTTATAAATTGATTTGCATTTTAATGAGGGAAATAAGTATTTGACCCCTCAGCAAAACATGACTTAATACTTGGTGGCAAAACCCTCGTTGGCAATCACAGAGGTCAGACGTTTCTTGTAGTTGGCCACCAGGTTTGCACGCATCTCAGGAGGGATTTTGTCCCACTCCTCTTTGCAGATCTTCTCCAAGTCATTAAGGTTTCGAGGCTGACGTTTGGCAACTCGAACCTTCGGCTCCCTCCACAGATTTTCTATGGGATTAAGGTCTGGAGACTGGCTAGGCCACTCCAGGACCTTAATGTGCTTCTTCTTGAGCCACTCCTTTGTTGCCTTGGCCGTGTGTTTTGGGTCATTGTCATGCTGGAATACCCATCCACGACCCATTTTCAATGCCCTGGCTGAGGGATGGAGGTTCTCACCCAAGATTTGACGGTACATGGCCCCGTCCATCGTCCCTTTGATGCGGTGAAGTTGTCCTGTCCCCTTAGCAAAAAAACATCCCCAAAGCATAATGTTTCCACCTCCATGTTTGACGGTGGGGATGGTGTTCTTGGGGTCATAGGCAGCATTCCTCCTCCTCCAAACACGGTGAGTTGAGTTGATGCCAAAGAGCATCAACAGTTGTCCTCTGAATCATTCAGATGTTCATTGGCAAACTTCAGACGGGCATGTACATGTGCTTTCTTGAGCAGGGGGACCTTGCGGGCGCTGCAGGATTTCAGTCCTTCACGGCGTAGTGTGTTACCAATTGTTTTCTTGGTGACTATGGTCCCAGCTGCCTTGAGATCATTCACAAGATCCTCCCGTCTAGTTCTGGACTGATTCCTCACCGTTCTCATGATCATTGCAACTCCACGAGGTGAGATCTTGAATGGAGCCACAGATCCTACTTTGACTTATATGGAACACAGTTATTTCTAGGGTTAATCGCTTTTTTTTACATGGAGAAATAAATGCTGTCTTAGTATATATTTAACAAATTACTGTAAAACATGCATTTGCCTTCATTCTGAAAATAAGCTTTTTCTGGAATTTTGAGTGTTTTTGGTTGCTCGAACACAATAATGAATTTGGGACGACATCAGTCCTTGCCATTTTAAAGGTTGTTAATCATTCATTCCTAATATTTATTTAAAATTACGTGACGCTAAAACTCTAAAATAACATGATTTAAAAATGTATTAAAACATCTTTTTTAAGCCATCACTCAGAATTGTTGCATGCACAAGTCAGTCCTGCCAATGTTTCGACGTGCGGTGCTGGCTCCTCTGTAAAAAACATGTGGACAGAAAATTGTGTCACACCACCAATTTGCGGAATTCTCACGGTTCACTGTGCTATTAAACGATGCAGTGCTTCACGCTGCCGTATTTTTATTTAGATTAAAGAGTTTGAATGTTTTTTCCCACCCTATTAATGTTTCTATGTCTTAACAGTTATAAGCTTGCATTTGAAGGCAGTAAGTAGTGCATGAGTAGTGTTTACCGTTCAACTCTTCGAGGAGGTGAATAAGCGTGAATTGAGCCATTCATTCTCTGTGAAGTACATCTGCCTCTGCTTTATTTTCATTGTGCATGCTTGAATTATTTAGGCCTAAGTTTGGAAGTGGTCGCCGTATTAAAAATGTAATACCTTTCCACGCGATTTTAAAACATTATTTATCATTGCTACTGTTAAAGTAATTTCCTTCATTAGCAGCCTGGCTTATTTTACACCATGTGCAGAAATTGTTCCCTGGTGGCAAAGCTTCAGGCCGTATAAACAGAAGTTATGTATGTTGCAACATATATAACGTGCATAATGAAGAACCAGGCCATTTTGCCATGTTCACAATTAAGAAGTCACAATTGGCATGACTCGTAGTTTTGTAATCTTCCAGCGTGCATTGTTGAGAGTGCAGCGAGCGCTTGTAACTATTTTTCTATTGGCTCCGTATACTCAGATATCACTTCCTTGCTGGATTTTACATCGATATCTTTTTTTTAACGATCTGCCTCAGTGCTTGCTGTGTCTGGGGGGGGGTGGGAAGGGGGTAGCTTGTGTGATCATATACCCTATCACAATCATAGTGACCCTACATCATTAGACCTCCTTTGCCCAGTACCAAAATATAATAATAGGGTTTTCCCCTTTTTTCTGGCAACAAAACTGAAACCTTTTTACGAGGATTCATGTCTGCATTAACCACAATACCTGTATTTTGACTCCAGGTATTGTGGTTAATGCAGACATGAATCCTTGTAAAAAGGTTTCAGTTTTGTTGCCAGAAAAAAGGGGAAAACCCCTATTATTATGCAGTCGCTCTTTTGTGTGTTGGTGATTGCCAGGGGTCTTAAGGCAGCTGGGTAGCACCTCGGTTAGCACGAGTTATCACCACCCTGTCTCTTTGCTATCGAGTTGACGGTGTGATTTAATTCCTGCGGTCGCTCCATAGCGCGGCGCAAGCTCCGTGCTACGAAGCGGAGAGTAAACGGCACCCTGGGACGCCATTTATGGCAGTGGACACCCTTTTATATCCCATCGGTATTGTGGCCCAAATCTCACATTTGTAAATTCATAATACGTAAATAAAATAATGTACAGCCCATTGGCAATAAAATTTGAAAATTACTCAGAAATATATTGTAAAATACAAATCAATGCCCTTAATTCGATCATTACCCACATTACTCATTCAAAGAATTATGAAATATTTGTGGACTTCAAAAAAGGACGTGAAAAACTCAATTAGAATTCTTAAAATATCGACTTCATTAACATAAATGTGAAAATCTCAAATGTTTTATATTTCACTGGTGAGATTTCAGTTGTTTTACATTATTTGAAAACTAAATTTTAGAAATGAGTCTTTCAATTGTATAAGGCAGAGCAGAGCATAATTGCTATTGCACTGCAGTATGATCTTGCATCCTGGCCATGATACACAATTGGTACATGGTCATGCCTTGGTCCTTCAGGTTGGCCTAGATTCAAATGACTACTGGGTGAAATGTGTCAGCATCCTCACAGGGAAGACAAATGTAGTCCAGAGTGTGTGATGTTGGCTCTATCGTCACCTGAAGGTGTAGTACCGTACCAGTTTATTATTGATTATAGCTGACAGTCCAGCTCCCTATAAAGACTTAATAAAGAGCACTTATATTTTGTATAAGCATGCATGAGCCTGTGTGTGGAAAGCAGTGGCTGGTGCACTGCTCTTTGAATCCAGTGACCAGTATTTAGAGTCACAGCTGCAGATAACAAAAGTATCAAGCGATGCAACAACCTCTCCGAGGCCCTAAATGAGTACCCTGCTAGAGCGTATATAAATATCAGCACTCGAGAAGGCAAAGGCGAAGTGTTGGCCACGCCTCGCTCTCGTGCACTTCGTAACTTCATCGGCTATCGCTAAAAGCGGTTGCCGCGACAGTCTGTGAGGTTATACGGGGATCTGTGTTCATCTGTGTGCACCCAACGTGAAATTCTCACCCGTGCGCGTGCGTGCGTGTTGCCCCAGGTGCGATCCATCAGCACCGACGTGCGCAAGAACCTGTCCCTCTACACCCTCAGCCAAGAGATTCTCCTCAAGGAGTTTGCAACCATTTCCTGAGCCTCCCCCGCCGCCTCCTCACGTGATTCAATACAATGCCGGGTACACCTTTTTTTTAGGACAGCCGCAATATCAAAATGTCTTTGCACAACGAAGCTTTGTGTAGCATTAATACTTAATGGACATTTCTCTCTTCCTTCCCACTCCCCCGATTTTTTTCAGACATTTAACATCCTCTAAAAAATATGCTTCCCTACTGAACAGCGTAACATTCATGGAAGTTGACAGCTTTTTCCAGTGTTTGGAATATGCGAAATACAAAGTAATGGTGATAGTTTAGGGAAAATGGCTTAAAGTTTCACCGCTATCACATGTAATGGTGTGCAATGTGAATGTCGTTCCATTAACCAAATTAATGCGTTGGTTAACAATGTCAGCGCCGATACACTGACGTTACCCTCCTTATCAACGAAATCCCTCCCAAGAGGCAATATGAACTATGATGGGGGGTGAAACTGCCCACACGATGTCTCGACCTGCATGCATGAGAGAATGTGTTATACCAACGTGCTGCGAAACAATTAAATTCGCGCAAAAAATGTCCAAGTTTCAACATTGAACGTGTGTGTCCGACACTGTCACGTCCAGCAACATGAACTTTCAAAGTGACAGGAATTATCTGCGAAGCATTCGCCACGAATATGCGTCGTTGGTTTAAACCAACAACTTCTCCGCCAGCCTCTAATCCCTGTGCCTCCTGCATAGCGGCATTACAGACCCTGCAGCACCTCACATGGCTGTAGTGCAGTGGAGGGAGGCTTACAGCTAATGCGCTGCACTGACACCAGTGTAACTGACGGTAGCCCTTCATAATGGGAAAAAGCGGATCCATTCCCTTTATCATCAACATTGTCAGCTATGTGTAACAAAGATTGCTATTTGGTAGATAAATCGAACATGCTGACGTTTTCAATTCCAAATAGATCTTGTTCCTCCCGTAAATAATGACTTATTTAATGGCGAAGTGCAGCACACTGCCACTCTTTGTTGTGTAGTTTATGTTCTCAATGACCGGGTAGAAAGGAAGTGACGAGGCTGTCATTGAGGCATAACTGCATTTTTTATGGCCACAATCATGTGAGCCATATAAATACACGGAGCTCTTCTTGACCCAAGCCATAAAAGCCCTTTGCATCGTTCAAGTTGGAGAGGGGGCAACGTCATGACCAAGAGACGGAGGTCCATGTTCTTGCAAAATTAAGTGTGTGTTCAAAAGGTCGCACATCAGCATATGAACAGGATTCTGTATGATCGGCAACATTTTGCTTTGTCGTATTGATGTATTTGCATTATTCTGGAATAATTAAAGGCTGCCCACCAGCTTGGGGAAGAATTCTTTTGTCTATACAATTTAAGAGGATCTGGTACACATACAGTGAGGGAAAAAAGTATTTGATCCCCTGCTGATTTTGTACGTTTGCCCAATGACAAATAAATGATCAGTCTATAATTTTAATGGTAGGTTTATTTGAACAGTGAGAGACAGAATAACAAAAAAATCCAGAAAAACGCATGTCAAAAATGTCATAAATTGATTTGCATTTTAATGAGGGAAATAAGTATTTGACCCCTCTGCAAAACATGACTTAGTACTTGGTGGTAAAACCCTTGTTGGCAATCACAGAGGTCAGACGTTTCTTGTAGTTGGCCACCAGGTTTGCACACATCTCAGGAGGGATTTTGTCCCACTCCTCTTTGCAGATCTTCTCCAAGTCATTAAGGTTTCGAGGCTGACGTTTGGCGACTCCAACCTTCAGCTCCCTCCACAGATTTTCTATGGGATTATGGTCTGGAGACTGGCTAGGCCACTCCAGAACCTTAATGTGCTTCTTCTTGAGCCACTCCTTTGTTGCCTTGGCCGTATGTTTTGGGTCATTGTCATGCTGTAATACCCATCCACGACCCATTTTCAATGCCCCGGCAGAGGGAAGGAGGTTCTCACCCAAGATTTGACGGTACATGGCCCCGTCCATCGTCCCTTTGATACGGTGAAGTTGTCCTGTCCCCTTAGCAGAAAAACACCCCCAAAGCATAATGTTTCCACCTCCATGTTTGACGGTGGGGATGGTGTTCTTGGGGTCATAGGCAGCATTCCTCCTCCTCCAAACACGGCGAGTTGAGTTGATGCCAAAGAGCTCCATATTGGTCTCATCTGACCACAACACTTTAACCCAGTTGTCCTCTGAATCATTCAGATGTTGATTGGCAAACTTCAGACGGGCATGTATATGTGCTTTCTTGAGCAGGGGGACCTTGCGGGCGCTGCAGGATTTCAGTCCTTCACGTCGTAGTGTGTTACCAATTGTTTTCTTGGTGGTTATGATCCCAGCTGCCTTTAGATAATTGACAAGATCCTCCCGTGTAGTTCTGGGCTGATTCCTCACCGTTCTCATGATCATTACAACTCCACGAGGTGAGATCTTGCATGGAGCCCCAGGCCCAGGGAGATTGACAGTTCTTTCGTGTTTCTTCCATTTGCGAATTATCGCACCAACTGTTGTCACCTTCTCACCAAGCTGCTTGGCAATGGTCTTGTAGCCCATTCCAGCCTTTTATAGGTCTACAATCTTCTCCCTGACATCCTTGGAGAGCTCTTTGGTCTTGGCCATGGTGGAGAGTTTGGAATCTGATTGATTGCTTCTGTGGACAGGTGTCTTTTATACAGGTAACAAGCAGAGATTAGGAGCACACTCTTTTTAAGAGTGTGCTCCTAATCTCAGCTCGTTAAGAGTGTGCTCCTAATCTCAGCTCGTTACCTGTATAAAAGACACCTGGGAGCCAGAAATCTTTCTGATTGAGAGGGGGTCAAATACTTATTTCCCTCATTAAAATGCAAATCAATTTATAACATTTTTGACATGCGTTTTTCTTTGTTGTTATTCTGTCTCTCACTGTTCAAATAAACCTACCATTAAAATTATAGACTGCTAATTTTTTTGTCAATGGGCAAACGTACAAAATCAGCAGGGGATCAAATACTTTTTTTCCTCACTGTAGTGTATTACCCACAGTCTTCTGAAAGGGTTAAAAGCCAAGATAATGATCCTCAGTATAGCATTGTGCACGTAGAGGATATACATGATCAAGCTCTTGCAATTCTGACACTAAGCTATGAACCAAATAGCGCAGTGGGCTCACTTTGACTTAAACTAAAATACGTAAGAAGTACACAGCCGTTTGTGCATATGCAAAAATCACATCAGCGTTTCCTGTAGAAATGCATTGTGGTTCTCTTGTCTGTCTTCGAACACGAAAAAAAACGTGAGCAAATATGACCAACTGACAGCAGCAGCAGTGATATACGTCTTTAGACCGGGATCATCATTGGTAGAAGTCATCAGCACTACAGTATAGCCACCAATGTTCACTGCTGCAAAGTCTGCCTCTGGGAACCATATATGTGGGGTGCCCACAATCGGTTATGATGGGTTTTCTCGTTATTTACAGGTTTCATTACTGTCACGTTTATTTTGTGGCCTTTTGATTCAAGGCATTGTTTGAGTGTTCAAATGTAATTACAAGGCCTGCACATCTCTGTAAAGCAATACCTAGCATTGAAATAAGCTGACAAATATATAGAATATACATTTGAGTTTATTGTTTCCTCCTATGATTAAGTTGTACAAATGTATATGTGTGTGCTTTTTCAGACTCTTGTAGAAATAGGGGTGTTAAAATGATTTGTAGAAGTGTGTGCTAGAATAGTATTGGCAATTTGGTTTTATGTTGATGTTTCTTCAAACATTGTATTTTCTCTGAATGAAAAGGGACTTCTTGATACATTTACACCAACGGGTTCATTGTTGAGGGTAGGTGACATGCCACATGCACCCTGATTCAACCTGGTTTGAAGATACGACCCCATTGTTTGTTCTTTATATAATTTAGTCTATATGTGACTTTCACATGGTGGACACAACTTATTTTAAGGTTTTGGCGGATCTGTATATATGTTTAATCTGTAATCATTGTCAGCTGTTATCTCTCTACTGCTGGATCAAGGCCATCCCAACGCCATCATCTCTCGTGGTCTTGCGATGCAACAATTCATCAAGCTCCTGAACAAGAGCTGATTGCATCGCTCCATTTTTGCAATGGATGTCCCTTCAGGTGTTTGCCTTTGCCTCCGAATAAATAAGCAATCACGTCTATTGGCCATCATCTTTCTCCAACAATGCCTTCATACAACAGTGGAGAGACCTTGGCTGATCATGAAGATGACAGCACCAAGTATACGTTTGCATTTCTGTGTAATCTTTACCGATGAACCATTTTTCCACAATTTACGAATAAACCGGCATGCCTGCTACGTTATGGGCCACTCAGCACAATACTGTCTGAGCACTATGCTTGATTGTTTACTGGATGATATTGGCTGATATGTCACCGTCACCTTGCCTGCCGATCCACAGTCTCGGTAATGCTGTGACCCCATTGTCCGTTCTGCCTGCTGCTTGTATCAGCAAACCTATCGGACGCTTCCCTCTCACGTCTGTCTCCCCAACTCGCGGTTTCACTTCGAGGAGTTGGTACTCCTTTTACGGCACGTACCAATCATTTTTGTTCCGGGTTTTGCAGACAGCTGCAGTGACGAACAGCTGCCATCATTTTCCTGTTTTGGAATGTTTGCTTTGGGGTCCTTGTGTGCTCCGTCTGCTCACACCACCGCATTCTCCTCCCCTCCAATGAGTTTCTATGATTTATGTGAGAATGTCATGTAGTCCAAGACGGGGAGAACAAAATGTGAGGTTAGCCATGTATATTGGAATTTGTTGTCAGCATGAAAAAAAATCAGTTACCTCTTCATTGTTTGTGCATTTCTGAAGTGTCCTAATTTTTTTGTAATATTTATGGCTTTTCACAATCATGCAATCACCGTTTTTGTAAGTAGCTGAAATTTCGTTTTCCCGGTATTTAATTCACAATCCTTGCAAATTCGAGTCGCTATTTTTTTTCACGCACAATTGCGGTGAAAGCCAGCGCCTCCTGTCACTGCAGGGTTTACCAGACATTATGTAAACTATATACAATGAAAAATTGTTATATGTTTGCACGCACGATGCAATGCTTTCATTGAGACGTAATAAAAAGATGAATACATTAATTTATGCGACTTCACACCCCTACAATTAAGACAATAATGAACGCCACTCAAGCCCTATATAGTATTTTTTTGTGCTATTCAGTGATGAGAGCCAGTAGATTTGAAGCTTTCGTGACTGCAAGGATTCATACTTTTTGGTTTTTTCGTTAAAGTCACGTAGGTAAAAAATAAATAAAATAAGTACAAACAACTAAATTGAATCACGACGTTTCGGGCGCAACACAAGCGTCCTTGACGTAGCGAAAGCACAAACGCTTAAGTGCGTCTCAGAGATGGCTGTTACGAGGGATGATATAGTCGCGGGGCATGGAGATGGGGGGGGTCACGGTGAATGTGGTGGCGGGGTGTGGGCTGGGAGGTAAAGTTGGGCTTGCCTCCCAGCGCACCCTCGGCTTCTCAACTTTACCTCCCAGCCCACACCCCGCCCCCCACACTCACCGTGTCCCCCTCCCCTCTCTCCATGCCCCGCGACTATATAATCCCTCATCACAGCCATCTCTGAGACACACTTATTAAGCGTTTGTGCTTTCGCTACGTTGTCCCCACCTGCAGAAGGACGCTTGTGTTGCGCCCGAAACGTCGTGATTTAATTTAGTTTTCATTTTTTTGATTTATTTTTTTACCTACGTGACTTTACCGCAAAAAAAAAAACCCAAAGAGTATGAGAGCCAGTGTTTTTGCATTCCCACTTCCTGAATACTCTAGACGCTGACATCACAACTCAATGCACTCCAGCTCAAAGGACAATAGATGATGTTTGATGTCTCTCAACTCCCAACCTTTCAATGTTTCAGTATGTCCTCACATACCTCCACGTAGTGTGCTGAAAACAGTTGGCATTAATGTGTACGATTCCTATAACTGCCACCTTAAAAGCGAGAACCAATCATATTGAGTGGTTATGTAGAAGTCAAAAAATTGAAATAATCGTCAGCCATGATCTGTCCACTGCTGGATGAATGCTTCCCCAAGTCATCATCCATCACTTGTGTCGAGATGCAACAACCTATCCAGCTCCTGACATCACCTGATTGCATCACTCTGTCACCGCAGAGAGTAAAAACTTTAGTCTTATTTAAATCTGATAACGTGGTGACCTTTATTTCTATATCGGCGGAGAGGCCATTTAGAGTGTAGTTAACAAGACACCCTCGAAGGGTGACCCGTTTGCATAAAAAATAGGCAGAAACTCCCTTTGACAAGATTTAAATTATTCATAATCTCTTTGGTAGATTTTTTTTGCTAAATGGAGACTTTTATTTTGCATTAGAAAGTGGATAAATGAGGTCCTTGTAGAGCAGCGGTGCCCAACCTTTTTGGCACCAGGGACCGGTTTCGTGGAAGACAATTTTTTTCACGGACCGGGGGGGGGGTCATCATTGGG